AGTGGCCTCAACTCTTCGCCCGTCGTATGCGTCGAAACGCGAACGCATCTGTCAGGGAGCAGGTCATCCAGCGGCATGTGTATCTCTTCATCCGCCGTCTCGGCCCTTGGCAGGTCTTCGGGCCGCGCGTCAATATTATACATCCGGCTCTTCTTGGCGAGCCGTGCTTCTGCAGAGGCTTCGCCCCTTGATATCCCGATGCCCTCCAGGGTAACAAACTTTAGGACTTGGTGGCAAGAGGAGGCCACCCCATTGAAAAGCGCCAGCAAGGGGCGCCAGCAAGGGGCGCCAGCAAGGGGCGCCCCAAGATCGCATTGTACGGCGAGGGGCAGTCGACTATGCCAAAGTCCACCGTGTGCGTGACACAATGCGTCTCGTCGCCCAATGTTATCGGAAGGCGCACGCGCCCGAGCACTTGAGCCGGCGCCCCAGAGAACCCAATTAGCACCGTGTCTGCTGGCGCCACCATGCTCGCGCCAATTGCATTTTCTCAAACGTGGAAAGAAACAACACGTCCATGGAGCTCCCGGTGTCGACCAACATCCTCTTGACTTCGCACCCGGCCACCACTCCCCGAATTTCCAGCGCCTCTGTGGAGGGCGTTCAGCACGCCTCTTCGGGCACATCGTTGAAGCGTATTTGTATGGCCTCTCGCGCACTGGCGGTAGCGGATTTTAGGCGCCTACCTTCCTCCAACTTCTGCCTCAAGTCTGTGGAGCCCGTGATGGCCTCAATGGTCAGCCTTACGCGGTTCGGGTTTGCCCCCTGTTCTACGTCGAATGGGGGTGGTGGTAGGGCAGTTCCTTCCTTAGGGTGATCGTCTGCCGGCCCTTGCTTTTCGTCAGGCGCCTCCACTTGCGCCTCCCGCGCCACGAACGTCCTCTGCGCCCTGTCATCTTTTTTCACAAAGTCATTCAGCATGCCTCTGTCCACCAACCCCTAAATCTCGGACTTCAGCTGATAGCAGTCTGCGGTGTGGTGTCCCCGCTCCCTATGGAACTCACAATACCTGTCGAGATTTTGCTCATTCGGGCGCCCCCTCATGGGGTCGGGCCACCTCAGGTGGTAACCCTTGTCCTTCGCATACTGCAACACGTTCTTCAGCGTGTCATTTAGCTCAGTGAAATTCCCCGCGCTCTTCGCACATGCCTCTGGTTTTCCACCCTGCACCCTGGAAACGACATGTTGGGTGCCGTTATTGGCACGCGGGGCGCAGGCAACCGGTAGCCCTCTCCCTCCTCCGCTTTGTTTTTGCGTCTGTCGAATCTTCGAGCCGCAAGTGTTTCCTCCAGCATGATGACTTTCTGCACCCTCCTGTCGAGGTCCTCTGTGGACGTCACGTCTCTCTTGGAAAGCGCCCGGCACAGCTCTTCACTAGTCGTGCACTCATCTAGGCAACACCCAAGACGGGAGGCTTGACATCCTTCACCGCCATGGCCACCGACATCCATCGTTCGTAAAAGTCCCGTAGCGGCTCGTTCTCCCTCTGACAGACCTTGAATAAGGCGCTTATCGTGAGGGTCCGGCGCTTCCGACTTGCGACTTTTGACAGGAACAGGGAAGCGAAGTGCTCGAAACAATCGATCCGCCCCTCCTCTAACTGGTGGTACCAGTCCAGCACTACCCCTGTGAACGTGGAGGGGAACGCCCGGCACATCGTGGCATCCGAGCTGCTATACAACTGCATCTTTGTGAAGTAATTGTTCAGGTGGTCTTCCGGATCGGTTGTCCCATCGTAGCTTGGCAAAGCCGGTATGACTGAGCTTGGCAGCTCGGCGAGAATGCTCCTGGCTAAGGGCTGTCGAACTCCCCAGCCTCTTCCCGCACGCCTCTGCGCCCATCCGTTGTAGTCATCATAGTCTGATTCTAAGTGTCGGGTCAGGTGTCCCATTTCCTCCGTGCGCCTCACGAGACTCGACGGTCCATCCCCTTCTTCATCCCGCTCCCTTTTCTTTGAACCAGGCGTGTGCGGGTCGCCCCCGCTCCTCTTGAGCGCCTCGACCTCCTTCTTCAAGATCTCGAGAGCGTGGTCTTGGCTCTCGATGATTTGAAGCAACTCCTCCTTTGTGAGCGGGGCGCCTTCTGCTTGCGCGCTCTCTTCAACCCTCGGACTCCCCTTCCCGTCATGCTCTTCCGCCTCCTTTGCCACTTCCGTCCCATGATCTTGAGGTTCAGCTCCTCTGTCTTTCTCCCCTAACCCTGTAACCTCCATGCGTCTTAATGGTTATATCCCCCTTCATGGCGTGCCAATTGTTTATGCCCAGAAACCCTCTTCTTGCGCCCCGCGCTCCTATTTCCTCCGCTCCCCTACGTAGTCGGCCTCCTGCACCCACACAAGCGCCTAGCGGACCAAATTGGTCTGTTAGCACTCCGACGCTCAAATGAGAACCTTACTTTTTAGAGAGAGAAGTGAAGGAACAGTTCTAGTAAGAGAAGCAAAACTGAGTAAATGAGGTTTACCTACTCGACTATTTATACCCGTGGCGAGATCGACCGGTACACGTCGCTCTCGCCCTGTGTCAGGCCCGCCATAAATGCACCGTACATCCCCCCGCATATGCGCCTCGACCATCTGACACTATGGCTAGAGATCCGAGGCGCATGACATCACTTTATCAGCCTTTCGTACACTTCCGACCGTTGGCTGCTTTTGTCTTACGGGCCCTTTCCGGGTGTCCGGTCCCACCTGTCTCACACGTCACCCTGGTCACTCGAGCCCTTGTCAGTGCGCCCCTCAGCCCAAGATCCTTGCCCCCATGGGCTTACCTGAGTTTCTTTGGTTGGGCCCACATCTGCCCCCCACTAACATCCTTCTTTGGGCTTTTCTCTTTGTATTGGTCTCTGGCCCATACTCGTTCCCCCAACATAAACCACTTATTGATAAAATTGTGGCTAGGATTAATAGTTGGAAAACAAGATTCTTATCATATGCTGTCGGGTTGAATTAGTCAGTTCAGTGTTGTATAACTTGCATCATACTGGATGGCTGTTTTTATACTTCCAAAGGCAGTGATTAGGGAAGTGGAAGGAATTTGTAGCAATTTCTTATGGGGTGTGGGGCAGGGAGGAAGACTGAAAGCAAAAATTGGATGGAAGCGCCTCACGGATCCCAAAGAGGAGGGGGGCCTTGTCTGAGAGACTTGGATACTTGGAATGTGGCTTGCGTTACACGTCATATATGGCTCTTGTTAATGCAGCATGGGTCGTTATGGGTTGCATGGATTAGCAACTACAAACTTAAAGGGGAAGATTTTTTGCTATATTCTGGTGGTTCTAGATCTTGGAACTGGAAACGCATACTGAAAACAAGGCAAAGAGTTTGCTCTCACTTTCATCAGCAGGGCATGAAATTTACTAGGATCTGGAGAGAATGGAGGTCTTCTCCATTAGAAGAATACGGGAGACTCTCAGGCCAAAAGTACTGAATGTGACATGGTCTAATATCTTATGTAAGGGTAGCTCAATCCCTAGAAATAGGTTTATTACATGGTTGAATATTAAAAGAGCTGTAACTACGAAAGAGAGAATGTTGAAATGGGGCTTTGCTAGTAGTGTAGGATGTGTTTTTTGCAACTGTCCTCTTGAGACGATGGACCATTTGTTTGCAGAGTGTCCATTGTATAGACAATTTGTTTTGAAACTGTTTTACAAGGACTCAAGGAATGCTCAGATGCATTTCTCCTTGGAGGGTGAAATTGACTGGCTGCAGCATTAGTACGGGACTCAATCAGTCCAGTCGCAGGTTCGCAGAGCCTTATGGCACAGCTTGGTGAGTCTCTTATGGAGAGAAAGGTGTAGCAGAGTCTTTAGTGGTCAGTACAGGGATTGTGATGTCTTGTGCAAAGTTGTTCGGGAAGAGATTATAGGGCTGTTTGGGAGGGGAATTTTTGAGTCTTTTTTTAGTATGGTTAATAGCACAGGTTGAAACAAAACTGATGTGTTTTCCCTAACTAGAAAGAGTGTTGCTAGTGTTGCTTTTTTTATGAAATGAACCTATCCGATTCATAAAAAAATTATTATTTTTTAATTGCCATGTCACAAATTTAACGGTCAATTATAAAGGTTGACTGTCAAATCAGCAAAAGTTAACGGAGAGTGACTAAATTTAAACATCGTTGAACTAATCTTTGTGACCGCGAATGAAATTAAATATTGTTAATGACCATATGTGAATTTTTGTGTAATTTCCGTGACCAATTTTGCAATTTACCCAAAATGTTATTAACTCTTTAAAATCGACTATATTTACGGCAAAGGTGAAAAATTATAGCTATAACTATAAGGACATATTCTGCCTAATAATAACTTGATGGCTAAACGTCGCCCTAACTTTACTTAAATCGCCCTAACTTAAAATGGTAAATTACTAGTCTATCATTCGTGAATAAAAAACTAACACTGCACCTAGCAAACAGTTAGTTGTCTTCTTCTTCCTCCGGCTATCGGTGGCAACCCTTCTGCGCTGCCATTGCATCTACAAATCGTGGCGGCTCTGGTCGAAAGCGGAAGTTTCACGAATCACCATATAGACTATTCCACCGTCACTACCCAAAACACCGCCCTTTTCACTCTTTAACACTTTGGTTAAAGAAATGAATGACTTCCACTTCCTCATGGACATGAACAGCTTGCGCCGTGAACCTTGCTTCAACATGACAGTGATTTGTTGTTTTGATTTAGGCTCAATGAATGCAGGGAAGTTCCACGGAGATGTTATTTTTATTTGTTTTTTTTTTATTTTCTATGAACAAAAATATGTAAGGATATAAAGATAATTTTATATAGTAAATTAGGACGATTTAAGTAAAATTAGTACGATATTTAGCAATTCAAATAATAATTCGACCCACGGCCGCTCCATTTGTCCATCACATGACATCCACGTTTGGGATCCACTCGTTCCCTCTCCTGGAAAGGACCCAATATTCTTTTATCAGCCTCGTCAATCTCCATCGGACGGATGAAAGCCAAGCACGATAAGAGGTTCACCAGAACCCGCACGCACCGAGTTATTTCTCCGTATCTCTTCTTCGTAATCTCTCACGGAAGACTTTTCTTATTCATTTCACTACTGTCTTTGTTTTTTTGGTCTCGTGTCCTCTCTCTTCCGTTCCATTCCCTCTCTCTTTCTTCTCTGTGAAGATGAGATTTTGCTAGCAGCAGCTGAAGAAGAAGACAACGCCTTCGCATGGCGAGTCAACTCGGAGCTATCTCAACTCTGGGTCTCGCTCTTTGCCTTTAAGCTGATCGTCAAGATCGCCGCTCTCTATCTCTGCCAGGTTTCTTCAGTTGTCTTTCTACCCCCTCTTTTCCATTGGTATGTCGTCAATCATTCTAACTGACAATTTCGGAGAGTTCCCAATCTTTTGGCATCCATTTTTATGGCAGAAACGTGTCAATTTCGATGTTACCGTCTTGGTTTGCCGAAAGCTAGGGTTTTCCTTGAACATAATTTTTGGGGATTTTCTCCCCCAAAATTGAGCTCTTTGTGGCTTCAATTGAATCGACTGGCTGTTCCTACTTAGGGGTTTTCTGATTCTTTATGGGTCGGTGTATATTCGGATACGAGTTGGTGCAATTCTGTGGTGGAGTTGGTAATTTGTGAATCGTGCATCGTCATTGATTTGGTTAGCTTAATAATGTAGGGAGTTTTGATCTTGACAGCATTTTGTTTTACCTCGTATAAATCCAGGCTTCTGCACCGTAGATTACTTCACTTTGGTATGGAGAACGAGTCACCTGATGCTATGAATCTCGACTTGAATCTCGGTCCTGGCCCTGACGCAGAGTCAGGAGAAGCTATAGGTAGTGAAGGTGTGAATTTGGACGATTGGGTTAATGATAACCCAATCGAAAGAATAAGGCAAGCTGTCAGAGTTCGAGCAAGGCAACGCTGGAGATGGCGACAAGTCCAATTCCCCCGCGAAAGGCAATCACTTTCGGTGGAATTGAATCAACTGATAGGTGATTCTGCAGCTTTGAGCGGCTTGCAAGCTGGTGAAGGTAGTGTAGCAGCTGAAGAACGGTCCAATGAAGACCTCAAAATGTGTGAAAATTCCAACTTGTTTCTGGAAGACCAGCTGACTGAAAATAAGGCTAACGTCGAGAAGGGAAGTGGCACTGATGGGAGCTTTTTCGACTGCAATATTTGCTTCGATCTGGCTTCAGATCCGGTTGTTACATGTTGTGGCCACCTCTTCTGTTGGGCATGCCTTTATAGATGGTTAAATGTCCATTCAGACGCAAAAGAATGCCCTGTATGCAAGGGGGAGGTCACCATCAAGAATGTGACCCCAATATATGGTCGTGGTAATAATAGCTCTCGTCCATCCGAAGATGACTCCAGCGTTGAGATCCCAAGCAGGCCACAGGCGAGGCGAGTCGAGAGCCTGAGGCAGACCATTCAGAGAAATCACTTTCACTTTCCAATGGAAGAGGTGATTCGGCGCCTTGGCAGTAGACTTGAGATGGTGGGAGAGTTGACTCCATCTCATGATCCTAGTGGGGCCCGTGACATAACAGATAGGAATTCCCTTATTAATAGGTTGATGACATTCAGGGGAACGCGTGCAGAGCAAAGTTCAATTCCAAATCCTAGTGAGGTAGTGGATTTGACGCACAGTGGAACAAGTAGTCCCGAGGGAGGAGTTAGAAGCCGACGACTTCACTCTCTGTTTCTTCGGAGGTCCCAATCACATGCCCAAAGAGCTTCAGCCCACAGTTCACTATCGGCTGCTTTTAATACTACTAGTGAAAGAATGGTCGAGTTTCTAAGAAACAATCCTATAATGAGGAATCAGGAACAAGCTGTTGATGACAGAGATTCTTTTTCGAGCATTGCTGCAGTTATAAACTCAGAAAGTCAAATGGATACTGCTGCTGAAATTGATTCCATGGTCTCTCTTTCTACATCTTCTTCTAGAAGAAGGAATGATAGTTCGAGAGCCTCGGATGTTGACAGTGGGGATTCTCGTGCGCCTAGGAGGAGGAGGTTAAACTAGGAAAGTATCCATCTCTAATTATTTATGGTTTGTTGAATATTGGCGACTCCTAAAATCCTATGTCCATGTAAGTTCTACCCCGGCTTTGTTATCGTCTGCTCTCAATTTGTGTTGGCGTTTTTCCGATCGTCAATGACTCTTGAAGCTGATAAATTTGATTTTTCAAATGTTTCGTAGCTGCTTCTGTGTTTGAGATATATGTGCACTCTCACTTAGGGAGCTTCTGTGTTGTTCCTCTGGAAAATCAGTTTATAGGGAAGAAGTAGACCTTTTTTGTTTCCATTGTACATAAGACCTCTGATCTACATGTTGTGGGGCTACTGATTAATTGTTGCATCCAATTTTTCACTATTCATTGCATGTTTCATTGAAGTTTATTTATGACAGGTTGTGAAGGAATGCCATGTATTATTTCTCTGTCTTGTATTCTTCTGGCAGAACCTTCTAACAAAATATCACCTTGCCTCTTAAGTCTTAACAATGTGTTTGAATATTTTAAGTTAGGTACTTTTCCAGTGATTATTTTGGTTGTTCCGCTCTTTCTAGCAGCTACTTGTCATCAATAGCAGATTGTTTATGCTGCACAATGTGATCTTTACCGAACAGGGTAAATATCATAACATGTACATTCTAAACTGCGGATGTTTCAGTGTACCCTTAGAAGAAAGCCATAAATGCTGATGATGAGACAACGGTGTATCCGATTTCCTGACCCTTGTTCTCAAGTTGAGTGTATAGTTACCAACGAAGCAGCTTCTAAGAATTTATTTGAGAATTCTGATCTTCAATTTGATTTAGTGTTCCAAATGTGCTTATTAACTGATGCAGATCATGAAGCTAACCAGGTTGATAGCTATTTAGGTTAGTCTGGAATGCTATTGATTCCCTGGAGAAGGTTACTAGGAATTGGTGCCCGATTAGTTTCTGGGTTTCTAGGGAAGTTGCTGTTGCTTGCAGCCTTCTACTATGGAGGTACTGTCACAGTTAATTATCACTATGGCAGTTTGATCATGCAACTAATCATCATTGGTCGGAGCTGGATGACATTATGAAAGCAGAACGTTCTCTTTTTTTTCCCGTGTTTTTTAATTTCCTAGGTGACAAGCAAATTCTTGAAGACTACTTTTTCTTCATGTTACGATCCTGAGTTCATTGGCTTCACTTTTTCGTAGAAGATTGAATATCTATTCATCAATGCAGTTCATAGGTCAAGTTATGTTAGGCTGTTTAAGTGTTATTAGGGTGGCATCCGTGATTGCTTAGGTTCTTTGTTACCTGTGGCGCTGTTCGACTTTGTTAAACCCAGGCCCCAACTCTCGACGTTCTGCAATCCAAACGTCTAAATTTGAGAATGTAAACAATAGCAGCTTGATTTTCCCTCTCCCCCTTTTTAGCTTTTAAGTTGGATTGTGTTTTCACTGACTTTGTTCTTATTCCTCAAACCCTGCTGTCACAAACTAATTTGTATCGAAATGTGTTTGAAACAGAAATATTACTGTTAATATCACTATAAAAGCCGAAATATCAGAAAAATATTACATGTGTTCCAAACTATTTTATATTTAAATTTTATCTTGAACTATTATTCTGTTAGTATTGACTGTCGTTGATAGTTAGTATTTAACAGAAAATCTAGTTAGTGTTGACGTGGTATCTGATGTGTTATTTTTAAATAATTAAATAATTACTATAAAAATTTAAAATTCCTATTTCATCTATCCTAATCCCCCCTCCCGAGCCTGCCTCCTCCTCCACCGCAGACAACGACCTCCTCGACTCCTGATCAGCAACACTAAAAACCCCCGATTTGTTAAAGGTCCATCAGCGGCAGGAGAGACATCATAGAGGTTGTAGGGGAGAAGAATGTGGTGGTGTTGAAGCTCCGACAAGCTCGTCGTCATCACCGTCGCTGTCGCTGATCACTTCATTCTGTGCAGGTTTTTGTTAGAGGTTTGCACGTATCCACAACTACCCCATCCTAGGGCAAATTTAAACTAGAACGGCGTTGCCGTATAGTGGTAATCAAGGTCGTATTCTACTCGAGACTCGGTACCCTAGCGTACTTCCCACGTAGTTGCTAATTAGTTAATCAGTTATTGAGGTTTTGAGTGGACGATATGAGGAAATTCTAGTTTAAGGATTGATCAAAGCTAAAAGCAGGTACTTCGGAGACTAATGCATATATAGATATCTAGGTTCATTGAATGTAGTGAGTGAGCTCTTTTTGGTGGCCTTCATCGTTATCCGCATGCCTCCGAGTACACCTCCCCTAAACCCATGTTCCAGTCACCTCGATCTAGGCTATCGTATCCGGGGCATTAAGCTTATGGCTCATTTCAATGGACACTATCCAATGTCCACACCGACGTTCATCCCAGGTTTCACCTAGGAAGGCTACCTATAGCAGGGGTACGGCCGCTTCGACCACTATAGGCCCCCATTCACACATCTAACCAAAACTCGTTAGATGGCGCATACCCGTCTAACCCTAGAACTCCGTACCTAGCGCGCTAGCATAAAGCAGGCTAAGAGGGAAGATTGTGGCAAGTTGCCCAAGCGTCATCATTCAGGAAAGAGTGGCATTAAAATCAACTAGGCAAACACATTCATTCAAACCCTAAAACTAGGATTTGGTGTTTAGAACCACTAGTACCTTAGAGAACTACTCCATAAAGGAGTAAAGAAGATACATGGTAGAACTATAAGAATACTTGAAGTTGGGGAAGATCCTCGTTGCTTCTAGCTCCTCCTTCTTCTCCTTCCTTCAGCTTCTCTCTCTTCTCTCTATAGAACAAAAAAATTTCTCTCAATATCAGCTCTCTTAAAATTGGGAAAGGTGTCTTGTATTTATAGGTATTTTGGACTCGGGGAATTGTGGCCTGAGGATGGGAGATCGCGGACGGGATCTTCTGAGGATAGGCCGCAATCTCAAGAAGATGTTGTCCTGGCCTCCTAAAGAGGGAAGATCGCGGGCTAACTTCATGGTTGCGATCCGCGAGTCGCGACAGTGATCTTCCTCGCGGGCAAGATAGATATTGGTTGTGATGCGTCTGGGGGAACTCTCTGTTTCTTCAAAACTCCCTCCATGCGAAGTTCGCGCCCTAAGCCTTCAAGATCGCGGTCGCGATCTTTAGCTTCCGCGCTGCGATCTTAAATTGGTCTTCGCGGCTTGTGATCCCGCCCATGATCTTTGGCTTCTAGGCCACGATCTTTAGGTGCATGTCCCTTCTCTATACTTGTGACCTTGTTTTGTACCTAATTCTCACATATAGACTAATACACCCTAAAATCACATCGAAATCAAATAGGAATGCAATAGGGATGTATTTCACGATATACAAGCATTTAAACACATGAATTGTGATAGAAACCGCGATTTATGTTCTTTCTGCATTTGAACTTATGTGTTAAATTATTATTGTTGGGGGATTTGTTTGGGGTATTTCAGAATTATTGGAAGGGATTAATAAGTTGTGGTAGCTAGAGGGAATTGTGGTTTATTATATAAAAGTTTTTAGTGCTAGGGCTGAAGTTAAGGAAAGATTAAACCTAATTACGTTTCCTAATCTCCCTCTCTCTCTCCTCACTCTAGCTGATTGCTCTCTTCTCCTTCTCTGCTGCCGCCGCAGCCTTCCTCGTCTCTACTCTCCATTTTTCGCCTCTTCCTCCCTTTTTTTACTCTACCAAGAGCAATCACCACCTCGGTGATTGACCTCATTTCTCCCAATCTCTAAATTCGGTAGAACCTGAGCATCAAGTTTCTATCATTTGGTATCAGAGCCCCATTACTGATATAGAACGGGGAGTCTAATCAACGTAACAATGATGCAGACCAAGTCCATCACATCTACAGAGAAGGCCGAGAAAGCTGCGCTGGAAAAGGCTGGCGAAGTAGTGCCAAAAACCGTCGCTGCAGGAAGAGCAAAGGAGGCCAAAGGTCTCCGCGCCTCAGGAGGAGCCTCCTCGAGACGCGGAGCTGGAGGATATGACGGACGACGAGGCTCTCAAGGCCTTGTTCCGGAACCTAGCGGAGGCCCAGTTCGGGCTGCTGGCTAAGGCCGCCGCGGCCAAAGAAGAGAGAGATGTGATGATGAAGATCTTGATGGGGGTCCAAGCGCAGCAACAGAGGATCGCAGCCTCCCTAGGGCTGTCTGAGGCTGACGAGGAGGAGGTGGAAGCGCCGACTGGGACGAAGGAGGCGGCGACCCTGGCAAAGGAGGCGGCGACTGGGGCGAGGGAGACGGTGGCGACGGGGTCGAGCGCCGCCAAGCCGCTACCGCTAGCGAGGCAGCACCGCCGAGGAGCCAAGGGGTGGCGGGAAGTCTTATTGCGACGACACATGGCCGAAGTCGCACCCTCCATGCGCAGCCAAGCCAGACCGTGAGCAGGCCCAGGGAAGTTGCGGGCCTATTGCCGACTCTGTCAGCAGGAGATCGTTGCGATACGCGGATAGGAAAAGATGCCTGGCTACGATAACATGGGCCCTGATTTGGCTTATGGGCCGATGGGCTCAAAGGATCAGATCGAAGGGCCAAGGAGAGCAGGAGAACCCAATGGGCTCGGGTGGCTTGGTTCGGAGCCGAGTCCTGTAGGGTGCGAGTTGAGCCGAGCTAACCGGCTGGGCGGAGTTGGGCAGTCGGAGGAAACCGGTCATGGAGTCGCGAACCGAATGGAGCAGACCGGTCAGACCGACACTGGGTGAGCCATGCACGGTCAAACTGGAGTCGATCCCAACCGGAACAGGCCGCCGCGAATTGGCGAGGGTGGCAGGGCCACTGGCCTAGGAAGAGGAAAGACGGGCCCCCCAGGCGCCATGGTATCTCAGTTCATTGCACCAGGGGTGGATGACGGACCCCATGGGTACGAGCACTATCTCGAGGATGATGGATATGACTGGGTTCCATCTCGTGAGATGCCGAACTATCGCAATTATCAGGGGAGGTCAGCTGGAGGTGGCATGTACGGCGGCTACAACCGCTTCCATGAGGATGAGTATGGGTTGGTGTTCCGAGCCAAACCCCCGACCGTCGAATTTCCGAAATTCAATGGTCAAAGTTACGCAGCTAGGAGATCTAGAACCTCGGATTGTTTCTCTCGATCAAGACCTCACAAAACAGGGTTGGTTTTGTGGGTTGGGTGGTGAGTTTCGTGCAACTTTCACAAGGGGAAAGAGGCTCGAAATCTTTAGGTCGATGCTTGCTCATGATTAGGGTGGTGGACTGATCGATACAAGCTCACGATTGCTTAGAATCCTCCAAGCAATCCAACTCAATTCATCAAGCAAACTTGTGAGATGAATCAAAGCACCACTTTGTATTTGATGAACAAAAACTAACTATTACAATGAATCAAACCAACTTAAATAGACCTAGCAAACCCTAACAACGCTTAAAGAAGTTTAATTACAATTCTACTTTGAAAAGGAATAAAAAATCAATGTGAAAACCAATTAAAGTCAAACTGTCTACTAATCCTAATCCGACTAGAATTCGGATTACTTAGTCTCCAATGTAGAATTTCCAATCTTGAAGTGATCTTTAGCCCCCTCGTTCGAGCCCTTCTAGACCTCATCTTGATCAACCAATGCTTTAATGTGGTGTGAAATTGAAGGCTCGACTCTTCCCCATTTCCCATGACTCGAGCTTCAAAGATCCCTTCCCAATTCTGCTTCCATACTTTGACAAATTTGGCAGTTTTTCCAGTGTTGAGCTAGCATATTGATCACCCGAGAAACCCAGCTTCTGGACTTCCTCTTGAGCTCCATAGTATACCATTTGAAAGAGCAACTCTTCTTCTTCTTCAACACGAGCCCAAGAGCGAGTTATGCTTGTCCAAAGTGAGTACCTGAAATTGTCATAAACACTTAGGCAAAAATCAGTGTTCTTCAACGTGCCTAGCTTGCCTTCATGATCGATTAATTCCAATTGTTTTAATGTCCAAATTGAGATCATATCATAACTTAGTTGATATTATTGGAAATTTCTTGAATATGGCCCGATAGTGATGATTGTTCTTCGATCTTCAATAAACTTCCCTTTGATATGCTCTTACCCCTTCTTCCGTCATCCCAATCGTAACTATTAAGGGCCATCCTTTCGATTAGTTATTGAAGTTCTCCGACTTCTTTGTTCCGAATGGCACCTCCACTAGCCGCATCGATGAGGCTTCGTGATTCCTTCGTTAACCCATTGTAGAAACTTTCAACTTGTAACCAATCGGCTATGCCATGATGAGGACACTTGAGTAGAAGAGATGTAAATCTTTTCCATGATTCAAACAATGATTCAGCTTCCTCTTG